TTGTAGGCTCTTTGGAGCTCGATTATTCGGAGTGTTATTCGAAATATTTCGATATTTCGATTAAGAGTCTCAGTATTTACTAGTATTGAATGATTTATGAATCTTGAAACTAGATATATTTTTTCCCGCCGGGGAGTAATCTGGAGCGATTAGGCATGGGACTATTCCTACACATTGCGGACAGTTTTCTGTAGCGTTCGAATGAAATGTCTTCAAACCCTTACACTCGCGCTACTGTTGTCATGAGTAGGATTCTCGAACGCTAGGAAGAGTTTATACGTCTGTTCTCCGATAGAGGGAGCTGAAGTGAATATTTCATTGAGAAAAATTCCCCTCAATTTGGTATAGGACTTATGGCGTTTTGAAAGTCATCGATTCTTGATCGATAGATTAAATATGGACTGATAATTCATGATAATGATGAAACAATTGTATCCTGTTATCATTCATATGAATTTTTCGAAACGCTCTTAGTATTCACTCTCGAACGTGATGGGTTCGTTCTCGTTGACAATATTTGTGTAGACAGTGAGAGTTTTATTTGAAATATTTCGATATTTCGATCTATGTGAACTATGTGAACTCATGTCAAAACAAATCTAGGGCAGCATGACATGTGATTAACCTCCTTACAAATAAAAAAAAAAGTCAGCCTGTTCGGCCAACAGAATACGAAGGTCCAGAAAAGTTAGTTCAACAATTTAACGACTTTTTTGTTAATCTTGGAGCATCTATCTCGGGAGTTGGCATCAAGTCTTTTGTAGGACAGCAAAGGCCAACTAAATCATTTTTTGTTTTTGACGATCACGATGCTGAAGTGGTATCAGTGGTGAAATCCATGAAAAATAACCCCTCTTTTGGCCATGACGAAATACCCATGAAAGTCATCAAAGCATCGATCAATGAAATATCTGCCCCCTGGTCAATATAATTCAGAGGTCATTTATTGAGGGAGTTTTTCCAGGTCAGCTTAAAATAGCTACAGTCACGCCTGTATATAAAAAAGGCGATCAAGAGGATTTAGGTAATTATAGGCCTATCAGTCTGCTCACATTTTCTTCTAAAATTTTTGAGAAAATCCTTGTTAATCGTCTTCTAAGTTTCTTTGGAAAATTCAATCTGATATCTACATGCCAACATGGTTTCGTTAAGGAAAGGAGTACCGAAACAGCAATTTATGAGCTAACTAACTTTATTATCAAATCACTTGAAGGGGGAGAAGTGCCTGTTGGACTATTTTTCGATTTGTCTAAAGCCTTCGATTCTGTGGATCATACCTTATCGCTCAAACAGCTCGAATATAGTGGCGTTAGAGAGAACCAACTCATGCTGATAGAAAGTTATCTCAGCAACAGGAAACAAAGAATTAAGATGACCATTGATGGTAAGACATGGATATTTAGGGATGCAGAACGGATAAGGGGAGTTCCTTAGGGTAGTGTGTTGGGGTCGTTGCTCTTTGTGATGTATGTCACTTCTCTCTCGAGAGCTTGCTCTGCTGGAAACTGTTACCCCATCATGTATGCTGATGATACAAACTTCTTAGTAAGGTCAGTTGATGTCACCTCGTCGTTGATTGACTCAGGAGCAGTGTTAAAGGCTGTTGAACAGTGGTGTACGGGCAATAGACTGCTGATCAACATAAAAAAGACTGAGTGATATTTTTCAGTACCGATAGATCAAAAGTTTCACACCCCAACGAAGTTTGCAGCGACCAAAATGTAATTATTGCAGCAGAATCAGTGAAGTTTCTTGGCATCGTAATGGATAAATATCTTAAATGGAGAGAACATGTGGAGTGCCTTAGAAAGAGGCTTGACAAAGTTGTATATACTTTATTTGCTATCAGAGAGCAGGTGCATACAAATATCCTGAAGGTGTTGTACTACTCAAATTTTCAGTCAATAATGTCGTATGGGATTATTTTTTGGGGAGGATCTTCATGTGTGAAGAGCATCTTCGTAACGCAAAAGGGGGCTTTGAGAACAATTGCCAAGCTTCAGTACAGGCAATCATGCAGGGGATTTTTCAGGGAGTACGCAATTCTCACGGTGTATGGGCTGTATATTTACCGACTGCTCATGTTTTTATATTCCCACTCTCTATTTTGAAGAACTAAAATGTACGAATGCCACACGCAGGATGTTTCCATATATGTATCCTATACATTGCTCAACATTGAGGGAAAGAGGAACCCAGTACATGACGATCTCGTCGTTTAATTCCCTTCCCCGACGGCTACAATTGGCAGTTGACACAAGGCATTACGAAAGAAGGATCTATAAATTTCTGATGGATTGTGAACCCTATTCAATCAAAGAATGTTTAGAGTTTTGTATATCGAATAGTAGTGATGAATTCTATTAAGTTTTGAATTTTCTTTATGTTTTTTTTTGACCTAACTCTATTTTGATGTTTCATTGCTTTTTTGTAATGTAGAATTGATTTTTGAGTTCAATAAATATTATTATTATATATATATATATATATATATATATATATATATATATATATATATATATATATATATATTTATATATATATATATATATATATATATATATATATATATATATATATATATATATATATATATATATATATATATATATGTATAATATACTTCGGAGTGCATCTCGAAAATCATCGAACTTGTTGAATCCAATGAATCAAGTTTCGATGGTTTTCTAAATGCACCTAGATCCTATCTTCAAATGAGACGAATATTAATTGCTGTACTAATCACGTGAGCTCCCGCTACGGAAGAAACAATGAAATATCATTGAAAAATAATTATTTTAGTTGATGTTTAGTTGCAAATTGCAACTTGTTGTTATCTATTTAGAAGAGATTTTAGCTTTTCATTATTGCTGTCAATGCCATGAGAAATATATATTTATATATACATATATATTTTTTCTTGAACGTTTTCTTCTTCGTTAAGTATTTTCACTGGAACTTGCTAAGACATAATCAAGTGATAGAGGATATATTGCTTCTGAATTCGTGGGACGAATAGATGAAATATTTTACAAAAGAACTGAGAATGAAATATTGAGTAATTTTTGAGACAATCAATACCTACGCCATTTCAGGTTCTAGTTACTCTTTTGGAATAGTAAAGGGTGAAAAAAAAATCGAGAATTTGCAGCAAAAGATCGAAACACCATAACCAAGTTTATCAAAAACCATCACAAAGAAGTATTCCGAAGTACTAGTCTACAAAGGAATCAGGGTTGGAGATTCAAGATATATCGATGGACAGTTAAATCGGCAGTAATTTTGTTAATTCATAATTGCATGGTGCATTTTGTCTATTTCCTTACTTACTTCTTTGAGATTGAGAGAAACTCTGATTCAACGACATCAACACATAAATAACGTTATAGATTTATGCTGTTAATAGAGTTATAAAATATTTTGTCATGGAATTATTTCTTGGGGATGCGCATATTCAACTACTTTGAACAAACCAATAATACAACAGAAGTGGTTACTTAAACTAATGTTCAAAAAGAACATGCTTTTCCCAACGAATCAATTGTTTGAGTTAGATGAAGTGTGGGACCTAAATCAGTTGTATTGCTACACGTTAATGAAACATACGTTCAACAACATAAGTGATTCGAAACGAATTGAGCATGGTTTGAATACCAGATATAGTCACCTTTCTCTGGAGGTTCCTAAGTTTAAAAAATCAATTGGTCAACGTTCGTCAATCAATTTAACGCCTAGAATTTTCAACAAATTGCCTATGTACTTGAAAGAGATGGTCAATAACGCGAAAATTAAGAAAGCCTTAAAGAAATGGATATCTCAGGCGGGGATGGTCTACTGTAATACTTTGATAAATGGAAGATTAGGTATATAGTTGAATGTATCAGATAATTGTAGAGATTAAGATTGAACAGTACAAAATAATATTTACTGTATAAATAATTATATACAAAACAATATAAATTGTATTGAAAAAAATCTCTCACCACAGGTATTATACCTTTGTGAGGGTTGACAAAAATTTTTATTATCTTTGTTCATATCTAGTTGATACAACTAGGAGAAGCATGGAAAGTAAATGAGGAACACGTCGACAGTGCTTCGTCTGCTTTGACTGAATTGAGACTGGCAGGACTCACGCGAAATATTTCTCGAAACCAATAATGATGATGTGAGCTTCCAAGTTAACATACCCGCATTCGTTACTATACGATACACCCAGTCAAGGATTCGACAACTGTGATGAGTAACAACTGTTGGTACGCATACCAAGCATCAAAGACAAACCAACACATGATAGAATGAATTGAAAGATTTGCTTTTACATACCACAAAGAAAGACACGACGCTGATAACTCATCGATCGAAGATAATACATAAGCACGTGTCCATATGCAATATGAATTGCATTTTCTTGAACGATGAAATAAAAAGTCTTGCAGGAATATTTTCCTAATGGAAACATTTAATTCAGTTCCCAATTTTATAAGAACCTAGGTCGCTCTGTTAGTTACTCAGTTCTCATATCGAGCTCTCGAAATAGTCTCGCTCCTTCAGGTCGGTCTGATCACTCCCCTATATCAATGACCAGAGAGTAGCACGCGGCACACATGCGGTTTTTCGGAATCATGTCCGAACCGCAGCAGTTCGCTCATTGTGGCGATCGCCAGTTAAAATCGGTTTTCAAGAAATGATGGAATGAATACTAACCGAGGATCTAAGAATCAGAAACATAGGTTTCCTATTTTGTGTGTTGTAGTTTTCTTCAAATCTAGTTTCTATCGGAATATCACTAGACTAGATTGAAGTGACCAAAGCCATAAAAAGAACGATACATATCTAATTATTAAAATGGCTAGAAATACTTATTGATTGAAATATTCATTCAAGTAAGTAACCTGATTGTAACTTCAAGTGCGAGTGCAAAGCCAAAGATAAATGAATAGCGTCACTACAATGACAATCATTTTACGATCCACGATGCTCAATCATTTAGATAGCCGGTCTCCGTAGCTCAATCGGTAGAACTCTCGACTGTGGTCCGGTAGAATTCGGGTTCGAGCCCCGCTGAAGGCATGGGTGTTTGTGTTTGTCTATGATTTAAGTAGTTCAAATAATGAAATATGCTGGGTAATATAGATCGATTACAAGCCCAATGGCCGTTTGGAACCGGCGTTAAACTGTAGGTCCACTGAATTAAAAAAAAAAATAATCATTTTGATATAAGATATCTGATATGAGTAAAAAGTTTTTCATTACAATAATGCGAAAGCAATAGGGCTTGTAATTACGATATCAATTATTAAGCAATATAGCTACTTTATATACAAGTCATATTTAATAGGTATACTTATCTATACATATAAATAAAAAATGCGTTAGTTACACTATTTATAACTCGAGAACGGTTGAACGGATTGGGTTGAAAATTGGTGGAGAGGTAGCTTAGAACTAGAATATTTCATTGGATTTCATGACATCTGGATGTAATTGGATTCTAAGTCCATTGGATTAAATTACGTATGGTTTCATGGAAGAAATGACCATAAGCAAATCACAAGGCCAATCCTTCAAAGTTTGTGGCCAGAATCTAGAGAATCCATGTTGTTCCAATGACCAATTATATGTGGCACGTTCAGAAGACCATGTCCGTTATTTGTTTTTGCACCTGATAATAAAACGAAAATGTCGTCTATCACAAGATGCTTCACTGAAGAGTGCAACCCATGCACCAAAATACATGGCCGTTAAAAAATCATTATAATACTTATATGCTACTTACTTTTATATGTTACTTTTGGACCTATAAAAAGATGTTACCTCAATACCCGGACAATTTTAATGGTTTCGCATCTTGCCAGACACATTGACAGTCGGCTGTAGGCGCGAGTGCGTGGTAACGGGTGTTCAAGTGGGTGCGAGCGAGATAGCACGCTTCGTCTAGTGCGATATTTTAAGATATCCAATAATAAAGAATTTTATTACGTTCACAGTCATAATAAATGTTGTAAAAAATTTTATTTTAATATTATAAAATAGAAAAAAAATATTGTTACATATAAAGAAAGATTTTGTCGTCGATATTTTCATATTTTTCGTCACTGCTATTCCAGTTGATGGCTTGATCGTCGTCAGTATCGCCTTCTTCACCAGTTTCTGAAAAAAAATGAGCAAGTTTATACAATTATGATAAATAAAAATTTATGTACAATAATTTGTCATGAAAATACCTGATTGAGTTTTGAGCGAATGTGGTTGGATTTCTCAAATGAGAATATTTATAAAATAGAATTTATATAATTTGCTCGCAGAAATTGCTGCAATAGCTCGCTTTTCGAAGGTGGTAGATTGTTAGCGTCAATATTTCGCAACTTCTTTCGGCCAAAAGGTTCTCTTACATCGGAGACTGTATGAGTCAACGAACATTTGAAGTCTAGCGGCATCAATATCAATTATGATGTAATTAATTAATTACAATGTCCATATTGTGGACATTGTAATGTAATTGCATAAAAATCTCTGAATAATATTGAAGATATTTTGTTGTTGAACTAAATTTCCAATTGATTCGCTGTTACCGAAGTTCGTACCAGAAGATCGCACCCGCTTGAACAGCTGTTACCTCGGCTCCATTTTTCAAAGTTTATGAGGTAATGACTCTCAAGGATCCAGAAGAAGGAAGAAAGTATTACAGATCTTTTTTCCCTCTTCAATTGATGTTTGCCAGGTATCAAGTCTCTGATGTACCTACACCAGTATCTGCTAGTTTTCTCATAAGTCTTCAAAAATTATTATACTGTATTCAGGATGTTGTCATTGCTCATTCACTGGTAAGTATTTTCAGTGCCTGATATTAAACTGAAATCACAATGAACTTTGAATGTGATGAATGTACAATGTCCGACTTTTCTGTTCTAAATGTCGAAGTTAGATCTATTATGTCTATAGGTATATATATATATATATATATATATATATATATATATATATATATATATATATATATATATATATATATATATATATATATATAATAACTATAATAATAAAAATAAATTTATTGAGAAACATTCTTTACGTTGTAGAATTACATTCATTTCAATTGATACAATAATTACAACTAGGAAGAATGCTCTCAAAAGGACTGAATTCAGTTTTTTGAATCTGATCTTCCATTCAGTCCTCGAGCAAAAATATTGGTTCAAACAAAAATATTGGTTAAATTTATATTTACAATATTATACAACTTATTGCCTACATTCGAATCATCCAAATACTCTGCCACACTATAGTATGCCTTTGTTGAGAGGCATATTATTTAACTCTCCTATTGAACAAATTAGCTTTCAGTACTTTCAAATTCGATGGTAAATGGTTAAAAATTTTAATATTCTGATAATAGAGAGAGTGCTCAAATTTAGCTGTTTTATGCATAGGAATAAGTTGTATATCCCTCCTCTTTGTTGAATATTCATGATTACTATTCAATTCAATAAACTTATCTTCATTTCCTTCAACATATAATAAACATCTATAAATACATAAACACGGTAAGGTGAGTATGTAATTATTCATGAAGATAGGTTTACAAGATGTTCGTTGATGAATATTGAATATTAATCGAAGTATTCGCCTCTGTGTAATAAACACCCTATTTATTTCTGTAAAGCAGCCCCACAGCAGAATATTATAATTTAGATGACTATATACAAGACTGTAATACACATTAATAACACAGTTTCTAGGTTCGATGTTCTTAACTCTAGAGATTTCCAAAAATGAGTTACTCAGTTTTTTACATAAGATCTCAATGTGTGATGTCCATTTCAAATAATATATATATATATATATATATATATATATATATATATATATATATATATATATATATATATATATATATATATATATTTATATATATATATTATATATTAAAATTGATGAGGCCGATACTTGGAGAAAATCAATATCCATAATGAAACAATATTTAAAATTTCCTCATAATTTTAATACAAATACGCATGACGACGTTTCAAAGTACTACTTTTCATCAAATGATGGTTTAATACTAGGTGTAATTTTACAAACTGAATACTTATAGCTATTTTCACAGAACACACCCAGGTATGTTCTATGGCCAACTTGGAATGAGGACCATAGAACACAACTGATACATAACAAAAAGGATCGTATACCTGGAAATGAATTTCTTAAGTCAGGTATACCAACTAAAGAACTATAGAAATTTTAGGCGTAGTTGGTATACCTGACTAAAGAAATTCATTTCCAGTTATACGATCCTATTTGTTATATATCAGTTGTGTTCTATGGTCCTCATTCCAAGTTGGCCATAGAACATACCCGGGTGGGTTCTGTGAAAATACCTACATATAAGTATTGAGTTTGTAAAATTATTTAGAAGTAGTACTTCGAAACGTCGTCATGCGTATTTGTATTAAAATTATGAGAAAATTTTAAATATTGTTTCATTATATTATATTAATGTACTATATATATTATTATGATCTGAATATAATCTGAAACAATAAGTTATTCTCTAAAATTGTTTCATGGTACCTTTTCCTTCTGTGATATTTGTAGATTTAGTTTTAATTTTTGATGCAAAGTAATATTAATAATATCAAACTAAGAGTAGGGATATTTTGATTATTAGTATAATTAATGATTGCATGTATATATTATAGAGGAATATGCAAATATTATGGCCCTGTAATAATCTGAAAACTTTGATAACTGAAAGTTGTTTCTAAAATTAATGACATGAAATTATTCATTCATTCGCAGAAACAAAAATTTCAATAAATAATGCTATTGAAGTGTTGTACTAATTTCATACACATAAAAACGACGATTTGAATGAATGGTGTGAATATTTCATATAGATTTTGAACGAAAGGCGTTATAAACACTACATTTCATCCTCAAAAACTTCTAGCACTTCAAAACAACATATTTGGCTTCAAAGTTTCATTATTGCAAAGAAAAGCGAACCTTCCGAGTTAATTAACGAATAAGATAAGGTTATCTTCTTCACAGAGAGAACTTTGAATGTGCCTTGTTTAGCATCCAGTTCGAAACAAAGCAATCTATGCCATTCGAAGGCATCACACCCAAGACCTAATTAGTAGTGAAATAGTCCGTCTGGCAGTGAACAGACCGTCATTTCCTGACTTTCCTGATGTCCTGCGATGCAAAGATGGCGTCCGATGTCCAAGGGATAATGTTCCTACTCGTTCTCCGACTTGGATGTCCTTTAGAGCACCCATTACTCCGATTCAATGGGCTAGTAAATTGGACCTATCTTGACACCTTTATTAGTATTTAGAATGCTTCAAGAGCCACCTCGTCCTCGTTGCCTCGGAAATCCAGATATTCGTTTCCGTTTGTCGCTTCAGAATATTCCTGCTGTATATTAGGCTTGATTGGGGTTTAGATACCTGTGATTTGTGATTATTTCAAGACTTATACCAACATATAGTATTATAATGGAATTATGAAAATATTCATCGTATCATTCAATAGTGGTAACAATTCAACTTGCAAGAATATCAAGGAAAATCTATTGTTCATTCATCTAAAATGGTGATAACTTTTCATCGTAGAGGTGGAAAATTTTTTCTAAGAAGAAATCTGAAACCTCAACGAGAACTACGAAATCATGTCTGAAACAGGCAATTGATTTATTGTCTGTTTAAGATATTTTATTTTGAAAGTTTTTAGCAATAACAGGCTTTTTTTGATATGAAAAAGTTTATTTTTGTTAACGGTTCGTTGTTATATTACAACTTTGTCGAAACTAATCTTTAGTTTTAAATTTTAATTAATTAATTAGTTTTGACAAAGTTGTAATATAACAACGAAACGTTAACAAAAATAAACTTTTTCATATCAAAAAAGCCTGTTATTGCTAAAAACTTTCAAAATATATATATATATATATATATATATATATATATATATATATATATATATATATATATATATATATATATATATATATATATCATATCAAACTTGATGCCTTTCGTACAGCGGATATTGAGGAATTTCGAGGA